ATCATGATGTTGTACACCTGAAACTAATCAAACTCTGCATATTAATTATACTTGAATAAAAAAGTAAATTTTAAAAAAGGAAGTATGGAGGGCTTAGGTTCCTTCCATCTCTCTGAGCTGCTACTTTTAGGGACTTGGCTAGTTCTCAGACCCTCATAGTCCCAAGATGGCTGCTGAAGTTCCAGGCATCTTATGGAGACACACAGACATTAGGGTAAGGAGGGGATGAAAGGCTCTCCTTGTTTCTCCTAGTAATAGCTGGGAAGCCTATCTTGAATGTGGTGGGTTGGTGCTCAGCATCCATGTCAACGCCCCTCTTATATGCCTTGCTACCTGCAGGAGTGAAAAGGCTAAAAACTCCCATTTCTCAGGCTCCCCTGCAGCCAGGATCTGCCTTACATTTGGGTTTGTCCAATCAGATGCACTCATACAAGATTTGAATGAATGGCAGGCGTGAGGTAGAAACCACTCTTCTGTTGGCTCAGAATACTCATCATGGAAGGGTATTTTTTTCTGTGATGGTCTTTCTGATCATAGCCATTTCCTTTTTTTCTTTTTAAGATTTTATTTATTTATCTGACAGAGAGAGCACAAGCAGGGGGAGCGGTAGACAGAGGGAGAAGCAGTTTCCCTGCTGAGCATGCTGGGATCATGACCTAAGCCTAAAGGCAGACGCTTAACTGACTCAATCACCCAGGTGTCCCTGATCATAGCCATTTCCTGATGGCAGTTGTCCCATCACTGGGGCAGATTCCCGGTTGTGTTGCCTTCCTGAACGTAGCAGTGGAAACCAATTCCTAATTAAGCAGTCAGGTTCCTGATCATAGAGAAGCCAGACCTTGAAAAACCCAAGTCTATGGTTTGGCTCTTGAAATTGTACCAGAATGGTCAACGCAGAATCTATTTGTTCTGATATTTCTTTCTTTCTTTTCTTTTTTTTTTATCTGATAGAGACACAGCGAGAGAGGGAACACAAGCAGGGGGAGTGGGAGAGGGAGAGGGAGAAGCAGGCTTCCCGCTGAGCAGGGAGCCTGATGTGGGGCTCGATCCCAGGACCCTGAGATCATGACCTGAGCCGAAGGCAGACGCCCAACGACTGAGCCACCCAGGTGCCCCTGTTCTGATATTTCTGTTAGCCACTTAACATCCCGTAATAAAGCCCTTTCTGCAACAATTAACTAGCCTAGGTCTCTATAATGAGCGGTGTGAGTTTGCTATGGCTACTGTAACAAATCACCACAAACTTTGTGGTGTCAAATAGAAATTTATTCTCCCACAGCTCTGGCAACCAGAAACTCGCAATCAGTATCACTGAGCCAAAATCAAGGTGTGCTCCCCCCACAGAGGCTCTAGGCGAGAATCTTCCTTGCCTCTTCCAGCTTCCAGGGGCTTCCTTGGCTTGTGGCCACATCACTCCCATCTCTGCCTCTGTGGTCACATTACCTCCTCTTTTTTTTTTTTTAAGATTTTTAAAAAAGTAATCTCTACACCCAGGGTGGGGCTCGAACTCACCACCCTCAGATCAGGAGTAGCACGCTCCACCGACTGAGCCAGCCAGGCACCCCGTCTCTTCCTCTTTTGTGTGGGTAATCTCACTGTATCGTACTTATAAGACACTTGCCATGGCATTTAGTTCTCCCCCCAACCCCTTCATCCCGGGTAATCTCACCTCTTCCTTAATTTAATCACATCTGCAAAGACTCCCCCCCCCCACCAATAAGGTCACATTTACAGGTTCCTGGCATTAGGATGTGGATATCTTTTGGAGAGTCATTTTTCAGCCTGCCACAAGGAACAATATAAAATCTTTCTTAGAGCACCTGCTTCCCCTCAAGCCAAATTCCCCTCATCATCAGCCAGAACGGCATCACCATGAAACACGTTGTCTCTTTCTTCCTCTAGATTCACTCTCTGCTGTGTTCTAGGTCTCAGAATCTGGATCACCTCAACAGGGACTCCCTTACCTCCAGCTGAGGTTGGCCAATGGAAGGTGTCAGCAGAAAATTGAGGGGGTTAGGGGAGAGCAGTTGGGTATTTACTCCCTGGTCTACATCCCTGCTGGGCTGTGTGCGGGCAGCAGTGGTGTTCCAGAATCTCTGTCAGGGGACTGATAAGCACCCCCTCCCATGCCCCTTCCAATTTAGTAATGGTAATAGTTTCTGGTCATTGGCTGGGCCTGGGATGCTCCCTTTGTTGGTTTCCCTTAACCATGCCCTGCCTCTGAACATTGCTCCTTAAATAAGTCCCTTCCCTCATTTGGCTGTGACATGGGTGTGCTGCAGGGATCCTGTGACCTTGGGCAAGTCACTTCAACCCTTAGTTTCCAATGGGTAAAATAGTTGTAATATCTGATATTACATATAACAGTCATGATATGACTGATACATAGTCATATGGTCATGCCTACACTGATCCTTAGCAAGAGGAATGGGAATCCCATGATTGGTTTTAGGTCAATCAAGATTCACCCAGGAATGACGTGGGGGAGGGGATCTGTCAAAAAGACATGAGAAAGGGTGGGGGGATGGGTTAGCCCGGTGATGGGTATTAAGGAGGGCACGTTCTGCATGGAGCACTGGGTGTTATATGCAAACAATGAATCATGGAACACTACATCAAAAACTAATGATGTAATGTATGGTGACTAACATAACATAATAAAATTAAATTAAAAGAAAGAAGAGCCTGAAAAAAAGACATGAGAAATTTTTTGTTGGGCTGGGAACAGCTCTGTCTCCTTTATCTGTTTTAGAGATAGGACCCCGGGATAAAACTTCCTCTCTTGACAGTTTACACGTTAAAGCTTTTGTATTTTATTTTTTTAAGATTTTATTTATTTAATTGACAGAGAGAGAGAGACAGCGAAAGAGGGAACACAAGCAGGGGGAGCGGGAGAGGGAGAAGCAGGCTTCCCGCTGAGCAGGGAGCCCGATGCGGGGCTCAATCCCAGGACCCTGAGATCATGACCTGAGCCGAAGGCAGTCACTTAACCAACTGACCCACCCAGGTGCCCCATATTAAAGCTTATTTAAAGTAATGGTACATTGATTTAATATGGAGTCCTTACTTTGTGCCAGGGCCTGGCAGCTGACGTGACTTAATGCTTTTAATTCCCACAACCACTTGGTGAGGAAAGATATTACAACTATTTTACCCATTGGAAACTAAGGGTTGAAGTGACTTGCCCAAGGTCACACAGTAACTAGGTGAGCAGAGTTGAGATTCTAAGATCTCTCTGACCTCAGAGCTTCACATTTTTTAAGGTTTATTTATTTATTTTAGAGAGAGAGAAGGGGAAGGGCAGAGGGAGAGAGTCTCAAGCAGACTCCACGCTGAGTGCTCGGAGCCCTACCCGGGGCTTGATCTCACAACTCTGAGATCATGACCTGAGTCGAAACCAAGAGTCTGCTGCTTAACCAACCGTGCCACCCAGGCGCCCCAGAGTTCACATTTGTAACCACTACAGTCATACTGTCTTCTTTATCATACTGGAGACACTTCTACCTATCAGGTCAAGAACTCATTGCTTTGCATATATAGCTTTGAACCCACAAAAGGTATGAATAAATCTCACCATCTTCTCTGCCCCACTGAGACCTAACTCACCATCATAGCACACCTAAACTCCCTCATCCACTCCTAGGTATGCCAGTCCCCTCTCCTCTTAGGAGGCCAGAACGTTAGACCCATAAATTGGAGCAGCAGCTTCCTTGCCTAAAAACCCTGCAAGGACTCGCTATGTATCCTCCGGGAAATCCAAGCGCTTTGAAGATCTCACAGAAGCCGTAGGACCTGGCCCTTGTCTACCTGGCTAACCTCGCTCCCAGCCACCCCTGTGTGGAGCTCTGGACTCCAGTACACTGGCCTCCTCTCTGCTCCTCAAACTGATGATCGGCTCCTTCCCCAGTCTGGAGCTCCCTGAAGACAGGGACTGCGGCTCTGTACCCCAATACCTGGCAAATAACTGGCAACCAGGAAAAAATAGGACCCATGTAGAATGAGTGCGTGATTGAATGGGGGGATGGATGGTAAATGCACCTTTCCAAGAGAAGTATCACTAGGCTATTTTCAGATGCAGAAACTATGGGTCAGAAAAGGCTAGTATATTACTAAGAGTAACTTGGCAAATAAATGTCCCATCTGGGTATCAAATTCAAGTCTGAGTCCAAAGTTGGCTTTCCTCCACACCACCTCCAAATGATTGCTCCCAACTTGCAAGCGTAACACCATTTAATAAGTGAAAATAAACACCCGGAGAAACTGGTGAAAACACAGGTAGGGAGGGCATACAGACAGGAGGACACATAAATAGCAGGATCCCAAAATATCACAATAACGGGGAACTCTGACATTTGTGATCCCCAAATCCCTCAAGAAATGAGACCAGCTCAGGTGGAGAGATACAATATTCAGATTCATAGAATCCTTTTTTTTTTTAAGTGGGCTCCACACCCAGCGTGGGGCCCAACAGAACTCATGACCCTAAGATCAAGACCTGAGCTGAGGTCAAGAGTGGGAAGCTTAACCCACCGAGCCACCCAGGCGTCACAAATTCCCAAATTCATAGAATCTCAAAGAAGGTGTTGAAGGTTCAAATCAGAGGTCCAGCCCTGTTATGGTGAGAATAACCCAGGCAATGACCTAAGTAAGACTGTCTCTGGGTACTTGGCGGGGGCCAGAGGGGTTGGGAGAACGACACGGGGGCGTTGTCAGGGGCCAATGTGGACCAAGGTTTGAAGTTTTTTCCTGAGCAACCTTGGCAACGCGTCCCCCGGAAATATCGCTGCATCGGGGGAACTCGGTCTGGTCTTGGGGAAAGCGCCAGCACCTCTGGCCCTCAGGGCAGGTGGATGGAGGTCCGGCCAACGCAGGCTGAGAGTCCCCCGAGCCTCAGCGCCCACTGGCTGAGACACCCGCCTGCTCCAATGGGCCAGCAGAAGGCAGCCCCCGCCGCCGCCCGCCTGCAGAGCCGCGGGCCCCAGGCGGAGCCGCGGCGGGGATCAGAGACAAGGCCCCGAGGTCGCCACCAGCTTCAGGTCCCACGTGAGCAGGCGCAGGAGGTTGAAGATGACGCTGGCTTCGTGGCACCGAGGCGAGTCCTGGAACCCGGGAAGCCGGGAAGGAGGCGGAGCCGGGTTGAGCCAGGAATTCCCTTTGGGACTGAGTCCCCTCCAGTCGCTCACCGCTCAGAGTCTGAGCTCCCATCCCGTGTCACCCTCACACGGTCCTCCCTGCGGTCTAACCGCCCCACCGCCTGCGCCACTCACAGCTCTCCGTGTTTGGGCACGCCTCCTCGGTGGCCGCCGGGACTTGCTCCACGAGCCTGGCCGCACCAGCTCGAGCTGCAGGGGGAACACGAGGGACATGGAGACGGCGAAGAACCGAGTGTCCCGGGGACTCTGCCCGTGACCCTCCCGGCCGCAGACCAAAGCCCGGATTGGGAGACCCCGAGACCACGCGAACCGTGGGGGGCGGAACAGCTTGGCCAAGCGGGTGCGCCTGGGCTGGAGGCCCGGGGTGGGGTGGGGGGGCGCAGAGCGAGCTGGGCGGGCCCGAGGGGCCGGGGGCGCGGGCGGCACTCACGCAGGCCCCCACGTCCCGCCGCGCGGCCGCCAGCAGCTCCAGGGTCAGGCCGGTGCCGGGGAACCGCTCGGGGCTCGGCAGGCGGCTCAGCACCGCCTGGGCGTTCGCCAGGTCCCGGACCACGAGGCGGAGGCGCGCGCACGACTGCGGGCGGAGACGGCGGGAGTTAGAGAGGCCGCGGCCCCGGCCCGCGCCGTCCCCCCGCCCGGCCCCCTCCCTCCCGCCCGCCCCGACGGCTCGCGCGCCTCACCCAGGGCCGCGGAGGATCCCTCCTCGGGCGGAAGGAGCAGTTGCGCGGCCGCCAGCTCAGCGTCTCCTCCTCCTGCGGGACAAGGGCCGTGGTGAGGCTGGGCCTCCTCGCCACGTCCCCGAAGCGCTGCGACGGCGGGGATTCCTGCACGTGGGACGCGCCTGGCCGGGACGGTGGTGCGGACTGTGCGCGGAATGCCGCAGCTCTCCGAAGGCGCGAACGGTGGCCGAAGGCACTCCGCCGGCCCCTTGCCCCGACGCGGAACCGAGCCCGCCTGCAGCGGGGGCGCCCTGGGCGGGGGCGAGTGGCACAGAGGCGGGGCCGGGGCTCAGCGCCCCCCTTCCCCTGCCGTCGGCGGCCCGCAAGATCTGGTGCTCAGAATTCTGCCCGGAGATCCGAGCCGCCCTGCCGGGCGCTGGGGCGCAAGGGCCGTCGCAGAGCGGGACCGGCGGCTGGGACCCGGCCGGCCCTCGGGCTCGGGGGGTGGCGGGGGGACGGCGGGGTGGGGAGGTCTGGGCATCACTCACGTAGCGGTCCCTCAGCGCCTTGACGGCCGCCAGCGCCCTGGGGTCCAGCGAGCGGTAGTGTGACAGGAGGCAGCGCCGGGGCGTCGCCACGCCAGGGTCCGCCGCCTCGCCCGCCGTCAGCAAGACCCACAGCGCCACGGCCACCGCGGCTGCGCCCCTCGGCCCCATCTCTGCTCCTGCCGAAGGCGCGGGACGGCAGGCGAGAGTCCCAGCCCCTGCCTCTGCTGGGCCTCGCACAGGGGCTGATGCTCGGGGCGGCGGCGGCGGCGGCGGCGGGAGAGAGGAGGAGCCCGCAGACCCCCTCCGGCCGTCGGCGTCTCTGCGCTCCCTGCTCCCCTGCGGAGTGCCCTCGGTGCCTCCCGCTGGCCCCGGCGTGGTGCCCACCTCCGACAGCGGTGCCTGCGTCCTCCATGGCGGCTTTATGTGAGCGGCGGAGACCCGGTGAGCCGCGGGGCTTTCCCTCGCGATCCCGCTGAGCTTTCCGAACGTCAGCGCTGGCCGCGGGCCGGGTGGGATGCCAGCCAGCGGCTGACGACTTTACCCGCGCGCGGGACTCTGCCAGCCATGACTCGGCCCCGACACTCTCTCCTGAGCCCGCTGCCCCTGTGTGTTTGCTGGACAGCTGTTTGTCTTTCCCGCCTGCCTTGTCATTCTCCTGCACTCTAGGAATGAACTGAAAGCACACCACTTCCTTCCCTTCTGAGCCCCCACGCAAGTGCCTGCCCTCCGGGAGTTCCCACTGTGGGTGTCTAGTGCCCCGTAGGCAGGCTCTTCCTGTCTTTACACTCCTGTCTTTCTCGGTTTATCCTTCTCTCTCACCCTGAAAACTACCCCCTGGGTTCTCTCTGGCTTTTCCTCATTCAGGTCGTCCTGAGTCGTCTATTAAATGATACCTATTCCTTTTTTAATTATAAATGTGAGTGTGCTGTTGAAAAGCGGAGTGTCAGACGTGAGTTTTTCAATCATGGTTAATAATCATCATCGCTGAATCGCACTGAACACTTCCCATCCGCGAAGCCCCACTTGAAGTTCTTCTCTTGTACTTACTGCTTTATTCTCCTCAGCAGCATGGCCACAAAAGTCCTCTTCTTAGTGGACATTTTGCCAATGAGGAAACTGGGATACAGAGAGGCTATGAGTCCTGCCCGAGCTCACACAGCTCCTAGATGTGGCTTTGGGACCGTCCTTGTTACTGTGGTGATGCTCCGTGGTGCATTATTGTCTCTCATCTACAGAGTAATCTGCCCATGTACAGAATCGCTGAGGTATGTTCTGGGCAAGTTCAACCAAGCTTCCTCCATGAGACCACCTCTTACTAATGATAAGTAAATTCATTAATAAATATTGATAATTACAGGCAAGTCGTGACTTTTTCAGATGGAGGTCTTCTTCAGCATTATGAGAAAATTATGTTTTGTTTTTTCAGTGTAGGTCTTCTTATTCAAAGGCATAGAGGTTTTTTGTTTTGCCTTTTTTTTTTTTAAGAGAGAGAGTGTGCACGAACGTTGTCTGTGGTGGGGGCAGAGGGAGAGAGAGAGAGAGAGAGAGGGAGAAAATCTCAAGCAGGCTCAGGGCTGAGCTCAGAGACCAACTCAGGGCTTGATCTCATGACCCTGAGATCATGGCCTGAGCAGAATTCAAGAGGGAGAGGCTTAACTGACTGAGCCACCCAGGCGCCCCAAAGGCACAGAAGTTTTAAGAAACACCACAGTGGTTGAAATGGAAGAACTCCAAAAAATCATGAGGGAAATTCTATGGAAACAGTAGAAAGGATCCCCCAAAGTGTCCATGCAGCATACTTTCTAACCTTCCATTACCTCTCCCCCCACGCATCCCAGCATCCCCCATTTCAGCTGGAGATTCAGGTGGTTCTGGGAAGGTGACAGCCCCCCCCGATCTCTGGGATGGGGTATGTGACTGGGTTGCGGCCATTTGCCTCAGTTGTCCCCATGGCTCCAGTGATTGGGTTTGTTATGGACATGCGACCTAAGCCAGTCCAGTCAGAATAAATCTCAGTCCTGGACATCTTTGGGAAAGAAGCTGTCTTTTGCCTAGTGAAGAAGAAGGAAGTGTAAAGCCAGGCGAGCTGCTAGCACCCATCTAGAAATTTGTAAGTGTAAACAGCCTTCCCACCTGTGGAAGGGAGACCCAAAAGATAAAACATAATTGGGAGGCTCATGATGTCCTATAGGATCAACCCTCACCTAAAGCCTCACCTAAACTCTGGAGTTCTAGTTTTAGAAGTCCATAAATTGTCCATTGTTCAAGCTGGCTTGGGTTAGGGAAACGTGTCCTTAACTGATAGACACTTGGGGCTGAAATGCAAGCCACATGTCTTCAAAGGCTGAAGAACTACAAGTAAAGTTGGTAACAGTAGGAAGAGTGGAGTGCTGTGGAATTGGACACAGAGATGTAGCAGGTGAAGATTCTCGACAATTGGTCATTCAGCACTGAGCCCCGCAATGCAGGCTATTGTGCTTGAATGATGTACAGTAAAAAGTACATTTAACACTCTTGAATGTTTGTCCCCTCAAAATGTAGGCGTCAAAATCCTAATCAACAAAGATGATGGTATTTGTTTGTGGCCCCTTTGGGAGGTGAGGAAGTCATGAATGGGGTTAGTCCTCTTATGAAAGAGATCCCACAGAATTCCCAAGCTCCCTTCCACCAGGTGAGAACTTGGCCTCTGGGAGGAGGGCCTTCACCTGACCGGGCAGGCACCTGATCTTGGACCTCTCAGCTTCCAGCACTATGAGAAATAAATTCTGTTGTTTACAAGCCACCCAGTCTATGGTATTTTGTTAAAGCAGCCCAGTGGACTGAGACAAATATTAACCTAATAGAAAGGTTTTGAAATTTAATTTCATTTTATTTACTTGAGAGAGAGAGAGAGAGACCGAGAGCACATAAGCAGGGAGGAGGGGCAGAGGGAGAGGGAGAAGCAGACTCAATCCCAGGACCTGGAGATCATGACCTGAGTGGAAGGCAGACACTTAACCAACTGAGCCACCCAGGAGTCCCTAATGGAAAGGTTTCTTGGGACCCACTGTTTGAGACTGCTACTCCATTACAAAAACTGCACACACATACACACACTGTATACGAGTAAAACTGAGGATCTCTTAATAAGATGGGCAAATTGTATCAATGTCAATTGCCTGGTTATGATATTATACTATAATTTTGTAAGATGTAATCATTGGGGGAAACTGGATAAAGAGTGCACAGGATCTCTCTGTATTATTATTATTTCTTAAAGATTTTATTTATTTATTTATTTGTCAGTGAGAGAAAGCACCCACAAGCAGGGGGAGCGGCAGGCAGAGGGAGAGGGAGAAGCAGGCTCCAGATGAGCAAGGATCCCAAGGCGGGACTCGATCCCAGGACCCTGGAATCATGACCTGAGCTGAAGGCATGAAGGCAGATGCTTAACCGACTGAGCCACCCAGGCGCCCTCTCTGCATTATTTCGTACAATAGCATGCAAAGCAGCAATGATCTCAATAACAATTCCAGTGAAAAAATTTCACGAAAAAAAAGAAACATACGGATAGCTGGTGACCTACCCAGATGCGTAATCTGGGCCAAAGTGGGCAGGTTAAGGGAACCAGTAAGGGATGGTGTTGTACCCAGAGGCTAGCAACATGGAGAGCTGGTGCCATCATAGCGAGGTGAGGCTGTAGACAGTGGAACAGGAACACAGCCGCTGTCAGACCTCAGCCCTACAGGGAGGGAACAAGGAGGGCAGAGAATAAATACCCCAACCTTGCTCACGTCCTCCCTTTAATCTCCTGCCCACCCTTCCCGTTGGCTGAACCCAACCATAAGCCAGAGACACAGATGCAGTGTCTGAGGGCCCAGTACAGACTGGAAAAAAGATCTGGTAAGTAGAGATTATCAGCAGAGTAGCAGAAGGTTGGAGGGCAAGCCCAGCATTTTACTCAGCCATATCAGCAGGTCTAGAGGTCAGATCAACATGCTCTACCTTTTAGAAATCTCTCAAAAATTTTTCATCCTACCAGGAATTAAGGAATCAATGAGCTAGCAATTCCCCCATATCCAATGAGTTGTTTTTAATATTTTATTTTTAAGCATCCTCTACACCCAATGTGGGGCTAGAACTCATGACCTGGAGATCAAAAATTGCACGATCCACCAACTGAGCCAGCCAGGCACTCTGAGTTGGTTTAAATTTTTATTTTTTTATTTTTATTTTATTTTTAAAGATTTTATTTATTTTTTGACAGAGAGAGTGACAGCAAGAGAGGGAACACAAGCAGGGGGAGTGGAAGAGGGAGAAGCAGGCTTCCCATGGAGCAGGGAGCCCAATGCGCGGCTCGATCCCAGGACCCTGAGATCATGACCTGAGCCAAAGGCAGACGCTTTAACAACTGAGCCACCCAGGTGCCCCTGGTTTAAATTTTTAATTACTCAGGTAGAATTCCCTCTCCTTGTAAGGAAATAAAATATTTCTTAACGGTTTTATTTTTAAGTAATCTCTACACCCAACATGGTGCTCAAAATCAAAACCCCAAGATCAAAAGTCAGGAAGCTCCATGGACAGAGCCAGCCAGCCGCCCCAGGAACTAAAATATTATTGACGAGATTAAATATTCCAAGGATCATCTCCCCAGTTCCCATGCCCTCTCCAGAGACACCCCCTTATTAATCAGCTTGGGATATGTATGTTTGAAAACCTTTTTTATACATTTCGAGATACACCATATAGCTCCCGAAGCAATATATAATACTTGTGTGTGATTGTGTTGATAAAGCTTTTTATTTTGACCTAATTTTAGATTTACATGCAATTGTAAGAAATAATACAAAGAGATCCTGTATACCCTTTACCCAGTTTCCTCCTGATGGTAACATCTTGCAAAATTATAATACAATATCACATTGATACAGTTGGGATACAGATAACTTTATCACCGCAAAGGTCCCTCACTCCCTTCCATCCCCTCCATAAGCCCTTGCAACCACTAATCCACTCTGCATTTCTATAATTCTGTCATTTTAAAAAAAGATTTTATTTATTTACGAGAGAGGGAGAGAGAGAGAGAGAGAGAGCAAGAGGTGGGGGAGGGGCAGAGGAGGAGGGAGAAGCAGACTCCCCGCTGAGCAGGGAGCCCCCATGGGGCTCGATCCCAGGACCCCTGGATCATGACCTGAGCCGAAGGCAGATGCTTAACCGCTTAACCGACTAAGCCAAACAGGCGCCCCTATAATTCTGTCATTTCAAGAGTGTTATATAAATGGAATCCTACGGTGTGTAACTTTTAGGGATAGGCTTTTTGCACCCGGCATAATTCCCTGGAGCTTTACACAGACAGGTGTGTATCAAGAGTTTGTTCCTTTTTCTTGCTGAATGGTATTCCATGGTATGTATGTACTACAGTTTGTTTAACTATCACCTGTTAAAGGACATCTGGATTGTTTCTGGTTTTTGACTGTTACAAATAAAACTGCGATAAACATTCACATGGGAGATGTTGTGGGAACATAAGTCTCCATTTCTCTGGGCTAAGTGCCCAGCAACACAATTGCTAGGTCATGTGGCGGTTGCATGTCTAGTTTTTTAAGAAACTGCTAATCTTTTTTTCCAGGGTGGCTGTACCATTTCTGCTCTCACACCAACTATGGGTGATCAATTTCTCCTACATCCTCACCAGCATTTGATGTTGTCATTATTTTTTGGTTTAGCCATTCTGATAGCTGTGTAATGAGATCTCATTGTGGTTTTAGTTTGCATCTCTCTAATGGCTAATGGTGTGGAACATCTTTTCATGTGCTTATTTCCCATTGTGTATCCTCTTTGGTGAAATGTCCCTTCACGTCTTTTGCCCACTTCCCATTTGGACTATTTACTTTTTTTAAAGTTTTATTTATTTAAGTAATCTCTACACCCAACACAGGGCTCAAACTCATGACCCGGAAATGAAGAGTCGCATGATCTTCCCACTGAGCCAGCCAGGCACCCCTGGACTGTTTAAGTTTTTTTTTACTGTTGAGTTTTCAGAGTTCTTTGTATACTCTAGGTACTAGTCCTTGATCAGATAGGTGGTTTGCAAATATATCCTCCTAGTCTTCAGCTCGTCTTTCTGTCCACTTAACATGGTCTCTCGCAGAGGAAAAGTTTTCAGTTGTGTCCAGTTGATGAATTGTCCTCTTTACAGATTGAGCCTTTGGTGTCAAGCCTAAAAACTCTTTCCAAGCTCTAGATCCCAAAGATGTTCTTTGTGATTTTTTTTCCTGTAAAAGTCTTACAGCTTCATATTTTACATTTAAGTCTGTGATCCATTTTTAATTACTTTTTATTTTAGGTGTGAAGTTTAGATCAAAGTTCACTTTTTGGCTTGTGCATGTCCAACTGCTCTAACACTTTTGGTGGAAAAGGCTGTTTTTCTCCACTGAACTGCTTTTGCACATGCGAGTACTTCTGAACACAAGTAGCTCCACACTAGGTGTATTGTTCAGCAGTGTACTTTTTTTTCACTCTCTAGTATGTCGTGAAGATTCTTCCATGTCAATACATATAGATCTGCTTCATTCTATTTAACTGCTGCAGGTCTACCTTAACCTGGGATCCACCGATCACCCCCACAGTAGGACTCAGGGGAGGCTGAACTTGCATGAGAAAAAGATGCATTTTCATTTCCACTGGTCTCTAACTGAAAGTTAGCATTTCTTTCCATTATGAATGTAAGCAACGAACCACAATAGTAAGAGCAGAAACTGTGACTTTGTTGCTAAAAGAAATCACAGATATTTTCACAGTCCATTACAGATGTGGCACATGTCTTGATATATTATTTACTCTCATTACTACCTCAAAAGGATAGTAGTTGTTAAACCTATTGCAGTATCTTATTACTTAATGCATTGATAAAGAGGCATATGCATTACTTATTACAAACTTGCTTTTATGTTTTGGTAACTGTGTTTCAATATAATGAGTTTTCTTCATAGTCCTGTGTATTTAATATTATGCATTAAAAACACATTTCTGAACCAATACATCATTATACCAAGGTTGCAGGACACAAGTTAACATAATAAAGTCTATGGTTTTCTTGTATAAAAGTAATGAACAGGGGCACCCTGGTGGCTCAGTCGGTTAAGCCTCTGGCTCTTGGTTTCAGCTCAAGCCATGATCTCAGGGTCATGGTTGGGCTGTGCTCAGCGGGGAGCCTGCTTGAGGATTCTCTCCCTCTGCTCCTCCCCCAACTCTTTCTCAAATAAATAAATGAATCTTAAAAAAATAGCAATGAACAGGGGTGCCCAGGTAGCTTAGTCAGTTAAGCAACCAACTCTTCTTTTTTTAAAATTTCATTTATTTATTTGAGAGAGCACGTGCATGAGTGGGGGGAGGGGCAGAGACAGAGGGAGAAGCCAACTTCCGGCTCAGCAGGGAGCCCAACTTGGGGTTCCATCCCAGGACCCTGAGATCATGACCTGAGCCGAAAGCAGACCCTTAACTGACTGAGCCACCCAGGTGCCCCAAGCGACCAACTCTTGATTTCAGTTCAGCTCTTGATCTCAGGGTCATGAGTTCAAGTCCCTTGTTTGTATGATATAACTCACCATGTACCTCACCATGTATCATAGATCTCAATATAAAGTGCAAAACTATAAAACTCCTAGAATACAGCACAGGAGAAAATCTAGGGGACCTTGGATGTTGGTGATGACTTTCGAGATACACCGAAAGCACAACCCACGAAAGAAAAAAATCGAGGAGGTAAATTTTCTTCAACTTAAAAATTTCAGCTGTTGAGAGAATGAACAAATTGTTACCTCCCTCTCCACCAGCCTTGAGAACCATGGCTTTAATAAAACCTGGAGGTAACCTCAATGTCCACCAAGAGGGCATTGGTTACTAAATGATGCCATTAGAATGGAAGCCTTAATAGTGATTTATGTGGGATGTTTTCCTTTGCCCCACCCCCCAAGCACCACTCTTCAGAGTGACTGCTTCCCCCCTGCTCCAGAGCCCAGGAGGCTGGCCTTTGGCCTCCATTGGGTGCAGCCAATCGGAGGCCTCACAGTAGGCCCAGGGAGAGGAAAGGAGAGTATTTATTCTCTGAGAGGTCAGAGTATATTTAATCCCCAGGCTTCCTCCCTGCAGGGTCACGACAATTTGTGTATTTGTCCATCCTGCGAACAAGATTCTCCTTCCCCGGTCAAGTAATCACTCCCTCCCCTCTCCCTTCCCCCTGGGCCTAAGGAGGACAGACCTTCCCCCATCCAGGGCCCCAAGGCCTTGCACTGCCCTCATCCTTTACCTTCACCACCCAAACCCTTTGTAAATACTCCTGGTATCAAGCTCACCTCAAATTATCCTAAATGGACTGGGCCATCTGTTTCCTGCTGGGGCCATAACTGGTACAGTATCATTAAAGATGTGGAGAAATGCAAATGAGAGAGAATGGTAAGACATTAAAAGCAGGCTACCAAACTGTGTACAGCCTGATTTCAGTTTAAGAGAACTTATTCCTAGAAAGAAAAAGAAGAGGGTGTACATGGAGGGGAGGGAGATAGCCCATGGAATTGCTACTAATTGTTTAAAAGAATTACCTCCAGGAAATGGGATTAAAGTCTCCCTTTAACTCGCCACGTCCAATGTTTTTGTATTGACTGAATCTTTGGATGCGTTACTTTAGTAATCAGGAAACATATGCACAGGGGCGCCTGGGTGGCTCAGTTGGTTGAGCCTTTGGCTCAGGTCATGATCCCGGAGTCCCAGAATCGAGTCCCGCATGGGGCTCCCCGGTTGGTGGGGAGTCTGCTTCTCCCTCTGACTCTCTTCCCTCTCATGCTCTCGCTCACTCTCAAATAAATAAATAAAATCTAAAAAAAAAAAAAGGAAACATATGCACAAATAAACAGGCATAAATTTTCTACACATTGGAAACATGGTTCCAGAGTTGGGCTGAGGGGAGAGAGGTAGGTGGTGGAGTTATCAATGGGTATTTTTTCTCCTTTATGCATTTCTGTATTTTCCATGAACAGGCAGTGCTAATGTTATCAGAAAAAGTAGTAGATTTTTTTTTGGATAGTAGTTGCAAGGTGAAGTAGATTTTATTTGTAAACTAAAACAAGGAGATTGAGACAGACAGAGACAGACAGAGGGATCCGGGGCTGGATGATTGCTAGCAAAAGGAATGAGATACAGATGGAGCGAGACAAAATCAGAGACAGAAACAAGAACAAGAGCCACGGGAGGCCTCTACACAGGCGAGAACAAGGAATGGAATGAGATGAACAGAGATGGAGAGAGAGGAGCTGAATCAAATATGTAGTGGCAATTATGGCTTAGAGAGAAAGCCTTGGGGCCGGACAGTGTGTAGGTTCAAATCCAGCCTCCGCCAGGTACTACCTACCTTGGAAAAGTTCCTTCATTTTACTGTACCTCACTTCTCCCATCTACAAAATGGAGTTAATAATAGCGCATCCCTTGCAGAGCCCTTTTTTGGGTATTAAAAGTGATACCTTGGGGCACCTGGGTGGCTCAGTCGGTTAAGCGTCTGCCTTTGGCTCAGGTCGTGATCCCAGGATCCTGGGATCGAGACCCGCATCGGGGTCCCTGCTCAGCGGTGAGTCTGCTTCTTCCTCTCCCTCTGCCCCCCAATCATGCTCTCTGTCTCAAATAAATGAATAAAATCTTTTTTTAAAGTGACACCTGTGTATGGATTACTTAAAACAGAGTCTAGGACACAATAAGCACTATACAATGGCTGATTGCTATACAGCCATCGGATACAGTTCTGTATTATATATAGACCGGAGATAAGGACGCCAAGGCTGACGACAAGAAGAGAGGGTACAGAGTGGGACAGGGTCCAGAACTGATGGCAGATTTCGGGGCCGAGTCATGGCTGGCAGAGTCCCGCGCGCGGGTAAAGTCGTCAGCCGCTGGCTGGCATCCCACCCGGCCCGCGGCCAGCGCTGACGTTCGGAAAGCTCAGCGGGATCGCGAGGGAAAGCCCCGCGGCTCACCGGGTCTCCGCCGCTCACATAAAGCCGCCATGGAGGACGCAGGCACCGCTGTCGGAGGTGGGCACCACGCCGGGGCCAGCGGGAGGCACCGAGGGCACTCCGCAGGGGAGCAGGGAGCGCAGAGACGCCGACGGCCGGAGGGGGTCTGCGGGCTCCTCCTCTCTCCCGCCGCCGCCGCCGCCGCCGCCCCGAGCATCAGCCCCTGTGCGAGGCCCAGCAGAGGCAGGGGCTGGGACTCTCGCCTGCCGTCCCGCGCCTTCGGCAGGAGCAGAGATGGGGCCGAGGGGCGCAGCCGCGGTGGCCGTGGCGCTGTGGGTCTTGCTGACGGCGGGCGAGGCGGCGGACCCTGGCGTGGCGACGCCCCGGCGCTGCCTCCTGTCACACTACCGCTCGCTGGACCCCAGGGCGCTGGCGGCCGTCAAGGCGCTGAGGGACCGCTACGTGAGTGATGCCCAGACCTCCCCACCCCGCCGTCCCCCCGCCACCCCCCGAGCCCGAGGGCCGGCCGGGTCCCAGCCGCCGGTCCCGCTCTGCGACGGCCCTTGCGCCCCAGCGCCCGGCAGGGCGGCTCGGATCTCCGGGCAGAATTCTGAGCACCAGATCTTGCGGGCCGCCGACGGCAGGGGAAGGGGGGCGCTGAGCCCCGGCCCCGCCTCTGTGCCACTCGCCCCCGCCCAGGGCGCCCCCGCTGCAGGCGGGCTCGGTTCCGCGTCGGGGCAAGGGGCCGGCGGAGTGCCTTCGGCCACCGTTCGCGCCTTCGGAGAGCTGCGGCATTCCGCGCACAGTCCGCACCACCGTCCCGGCCAGGCGCGTCCCACGTGCAGGAATCCCCGCCGTCGCAGCGCTTCGGGGACGTGGCGAGGAGGCCCAGCCTCACCACGGCCCTTGTCCCGCAGGAGGAGGAGACGCTGAGCTGGCGGCCGCGCAACTGCTCCTTCCGCCCGAGGAGGGATCCTCCGCGGCCCTGGGTGAGGCGCGCGAGCCGTCGGGGCGGGCGGGAGGGAGGGGGCCGGGCGGGGGGACGGCGCGGGCCGGGGCCGCGGCCTCTCTAACTCCCGCCGTCTCCGCCCGCAGTCGTGCGCGCGCCTCCGCCTCGTGGTCCGGGACCTGGCGAACGCCCAGGCGGTGCTGAGCCGCCTGCCGAGCCCCGAGCGGTTCCCCGGCACCGGCCTGACCCTGGAGCTGCTGGCGGCCGCGCGGCGGGACGTGGGGGCCTGCGTGAGTGCCGCCCGCGCCCCCGGCCCCTCGGGCCCGCCCAGCTCGCTCTGCGCCCCCCCACCCCACCCCGGGCCTCCAGCCCAGGCGCACCCGCTTGGCCAAGCTGTTCCGCCCCCCACGGTTCGCGTGGTCTCGGGGTCTCCCAATCCGGGCTTTGGTCTGCGGCCGGGAGGGTCACGGGCAGAGTCCCCGGGACACTCGGTTCTTCGCCGTCTCCATGTCCCTCGTGTTCCCCCTGCAGCTCGAGCTGGTGCGGCCAGGCTCGTGGAGCAAGTCCCGGCGGCCACCGAGGAGGCGTGCCCAAACACGGAGAGCTGTGAGTGGCGCAGGCGGTGGGGCGGTTAGACCGCAGGGAGGACCGTGTGAGGGTGACACGGGATGGGAGCTCAGACTCTGAGCGGTGAGCGACTGGAGGGGACTCAGTCCCAAAGGGAATTCCTGGCTCAACCCGGCTCCGCCTCCTTCCCGGCTTCCCGGGTTCCAGGACTCGCCTCGGTGCCACGAAGCCAGCGTCATCTTCAACCTCCTGCGCCTGCTCACGTGGGACCTGAAGCTGGTGGCGACCTCGGGGCCTTGTCTCTGATCCCCGCCGCGGCTCCGCCTGGGGCCCGCGGCTCTGCAGGCGGGCGGCGGCGGGGGCTGCCTTCTGCTGGCCCATTGGAGCAGGCGGGTGTCTCAGCCAGTGGGCGCTGAGGCTCGGGGGACTCTCAGCCTGCGTTGGCCGGACCTCCACCCACCTGCCCTGAGGGCCAGAGGTGCTGGCGCTTTCCCCAAGACCAGACCGAGTTCCCCGGATGCAGCGATATTTCTGGGGGACGCATTGCCCTATGATCTTCCAGGCGCCTGGTGTGGCTAGAAGAGACTTGAGTCTGGAGTCTGCCTTGGTCGCTGACCCCCACGTACCATGGACCAGTTTCTACTTCTGTGGTTACCAGAATCCCAGAGGCTTTCTCCCAGAACACGTTCCCCCCCTCCTTTGAACCTTCAACTCCCACTTTGAGATTGTAGGAATCTGTGACTCTTGAATCTCCCCAGTGGGGAGGCCCCATACATTCCCTGAGGGGTTTGGTAGTGAAAGGTCTTAAAGTTCTTAAGTTATTGTAGTGTTTTTGGATTCTGTTACTTATGGCTGTTTTGTATTTGCAAAATCCCCGTGTTTATCCGCTATTCTGTCTGCTGGTGTTAATTTATTGCCAGATTTATTAAATATCATTGCATTTGTGTTGGTTGCTTCCCCTGTGACCATTTTGGGGGTGCACTGTTCAGTAAAAATGCTGAGCCGGGGAAGTTAGATGACTTGAATTTCATTTCTGACCTTGCCATTTAATTATGGAGGAACTCTGGGCACATACCTTCTCTCTGAGCCTTGGTTTTCTCATCTATACAGTGACATTATTATACTGTCCTTGCCATTGAGTAATGTACATTGAAATAGTGTTTATAAAGCTTCCAGGTGAGGTCATAGTGTGGTCTTAATAAGAGATCTCCATTAAATAACCACACACACATAAGTACACAAACAATTGTACTTTTTTAACTTGTCCAGATTTGTGGGCTGGTGATCTTTGTTGCTAACTGCATGCTTCATTCTCAAGGTCACACAGTTAGTGAGGGTCAGAGCCAGGTCGGAACCCCAGACCCTTTATTTCCAGGGTCTGGAAGTGCTCTTAACCACCCCACTGAAATGCCTTTGTAAGAAAAACAAGTATGAAGTTTGGGAATTTTGGGTAAGATGTCAGTTTGCAGATTCACTGTTGATGCAGTGTCTTCCCCCCTGAATTAAGGCCCCTGCAATTGACAGAAATTGACCAGCGCGCTGGTAGGTGAGTTGGGTACATCCCTGCTCTTTGTTTTAAAACAATTTTATATGTCAGAGCGCAAAGATTTTCCCAACTGAGGACTTCCGTCTACACTCTCTTGAGTTATGAATGAGGGAAAGGAGGGGTTACGGTGGGGGTCTAGTGTCAAAAAGGACTTAATATTTTCTCTCCAAAAAATTTGTCACCTCCAAGTTCAGAAGATCTCTCTACACAAAGGCCAGAGACTGCTGTGGATACTGTCTAGATGTCAGACAAAATTCATTAATATCCAGGCCTCATCACTTATTTGCTGTGTGACCTTGGGCAGGTCTCTTAACCTCTCTGAGTCCCTGCAGGTTACTACTTATTTACAATGTAGGCAAAGCACAATATGTGCTTGGTGTTAATGTGGATATTCAATTCTACATTGTGGCAAAACCTCTGTGACCAGGTGAGACATACAAGTGCTCAACAAAAGGGGGGGTGTCCTGTTTTCCTTTTGCACCTCCTGTTGCCTTTACCCAAAAGGCTCCTCCTTCACATCTTCACATAGCTCCCTCCCTCACTTCCTTTAGGACTTTGCTCAAACGTCATTTTCTCAGGCCACCTCATGAATACAGACTTCCTCCTGCACTCTGCTCTCATCTCTGCATGATTTCCCTCCCCCCCCATTTTCTGTTTCCTGACATAATACATACCTTGTGCTCCCCACCCCAACCCCCACCCCCGACACTGTCTGGTACTCCTCTCTAGTAATGAGCTCTGTGAAGGATTGTTTTATGTTTGTTTCTTTGTTTTCCATGCTTAATTCCTGGTACTTTAGGCAGTGCCTGGGACTGGATAAGGACTCAGTGCATAAACGAAGGCATTTGTCACAACAGAGCTGGTTCCCTTGGAGTCCTTGGGCACACCCCAGTTCCTTAGCAGAGCGTCATAGTCCTGGGTCCTTCATGCCTGGACAATGAAAGATGTGCCTGGAGGCTCTTCTCCCCCCCATTCTCTCTGTCAATAGCAGGTGGGGACAGGTGGGGAAAGAGCCAGTGTCCTCTCTTAATTCTCTGGTGTTTTGCCTTTCTGACTCTCTCTTCCTGCACCCAGCAGCCTTTCCCCTCCCCTACACAGCCTCCCTCTTGTAAGTTCCAAGTTCTTTGTGGCACCAGCCCAAAGGGTGCCTTTCCCCTCCCCTCCCTGCATGAGGGCACCCTGCAGAAAAGCAAGTCCCTCTGTGCCCTCCCACCCCAGGCCTGAATCTAGCCCCTCCGGGCACCGTGACCCCTCCTGGCAGGGCTGAAGCTGCCCCAGTCCCTCGATGACTCATCTTCAGAACTCACCTTCATGCAGGTACACACTGAATCAGAGTCCAGTTCCTCTTTCGCTCCCGTGGCTCAGCTGGCTCTGGGCTTCCCCAGCCTGGGGCCTCCCCTGGTGGTGGCTGTGTTTTCACTTTTCCTACATCAGCTGGAATTGCCCATCTGTCTAAGTTAAAAGCTGCACCATGGGGCTCAGGTGGGAATCACATCTCAGACAGAGCTGGAAGTTCAGAGACAGACAGACAGACAGAACAGTCTGCGGGGATCCAGAGGAGGACACTGAAGTCAGAGACGCCCAACAAGACTGAGTGAGGACCCCAGGCGACAGCTTCTAAGAGAACATCCAGATTCTGCTATCTGCTGAAGGAGACCAGGGTCCAGGAATGAAGCTGGGTGAGCCCCCTATCATGGTCCGTGACCCTCACCTCACCCTCAGCGCCTGATGCTCCCTGACCCCTCACCTTTCTGTCCTTCCGTATCACAGCTATGGCTGTGGGCTGCCTGCTGGTGCTGATGATTATGGTGCTGACCAGGGCAGGAGCAGTTCCTGGCCCCAAGCCCCTCGGGGTCCTCCCGGATGAAAGGGGCTGCCACTTGGCCCAGTTCCAGTTTCTGTCCCCGCAAGAGCTGCAGGCCTTCAGGAGGGCCAAGGACACCTTTGTGAGTCTCCCCACTGCCCCACCTGCTGTGAGCTAACCTCCCCGCCCCCCACCGCCTCTCTGCGTTACCATGCTGCCCTCCCCCAAGGGGGGACCTACGCCCTTCCCTTGCCGGGCTACCTCCCCCCGTCCCACAGTGGGCAGACTCACCCCTCCTGTGGTGGAGGTGCCTCTACCACCCTTTTGCTAGTTAACCTCAGCTCCTCCTGCTGTTAGCATCATCCAATCCTACTGGAGTGTTTTCCCCTCTGTCCCTCCTGCTGGGGGCTGACCTCTGCCTTTGCTTTCCAGGAAGAGTCGCTCTCCCTGAAGGCCTGGAGCTGCCGCCCCCGCCTCTTCCCCAGGACCTGGGACCTGCAGCAGCTGCAGGTGAGGGGACAGTCAGCGCCACCCCTGCCCTCCCCTGGCCCTGCTCCTCTGGCTCCTCAGGCTGCCCCTTCACCTTCTCATGTGTCCCTCTCTCCTCCCCTCCCACCAGCACCTGGCTGGGCCCTCTCACCTGTCCCCCGACTGTCACCTCTCCCTGCCTTAGTCCACCCCACCTGTCCTCTCTCGTGCGCAACTCTCATCTGTCTCCGTTTCCCATCCTCAGGTGTGGGAGCGCCCCGTGGCCTTGGAGGCTGAGCTGGCCTTGACCCTGAAGGTCCTGGAGACCATGGCTGACTCGTCCCTGGGGGGCATCCTGGACCAGCCCCTTCACACACTGCGCCACATCCACTCCGAGCTCCAGGCCTGTGTGAGTGCTCGGGGGGAGCGGGGGAGGCACCCAGGCCCTGTCTGCGCTCTGACCACTTGAACGTCCCCCTCCGTCCCAGGCCCTGCCTCACACACCACCCTCCTCTGCCCACAGGTCGAGGCTCAGCCCCCAGCAGGGCTCCGGCCCCGAGGCCGCCTCCACCACTGGCTGCACCGGCTCCATGAGGCCCCAAAGAAGGTGAGTGACCAGGGACTGAGCAGTGTCTGGGGACAACTGGGAGCCCAGATGACAGGCAGCCACTGACCCAGCCCCTCCTCCCCACAGGAGTCCCTCCGCTGCCTGGAAGCCTCTGTCATGTTCAACCTCTTCCGCCTCCTCACCCGGGACCTGAAATGTGTGGCTAGTGGAGACCTGTGTGTGTGATCCCCGACACCCACCTGCACCCTGTCCTGACATCTTAGATATTATTTATGCATCAACCACTTTTCTTAATGTAGTGCCACCCAGTCATTATTTATGTATTTATGTGCATTGATTCTTAAATGCGGACCCAATAAAATGTTTATTTTTCTACTTTGTATAAAAATTGTGCAAATAAAAAAAGGAGGAAACAATGCTCCTTGTGGTGTGGGACTGTGGGTTTGTGTGGACTAAATTTTTAGGTTTTTTTGTTTTTTGGCGGTTTTTTTTTTGTTGTTGTTGTTTTTGTTTCTGTTTTTGTTTTGCTGACGTAACCAATTATCACAAACTTAGCATCTCCAAAGTAAGACAGATCTCACATTTCTGCAGGTGAGAAATCCAGGTGGGCTCGAGAGTTTCTCTGCTGTGGGTCTCACAAGGCTGAACAAAGTGCTGCTGGCTGGATTCTTATGGGGTGGGGGCTCTGGGGAGAACCTGTTTCCAAGCTCATTCAAGTTGTCGGCAGAATCGGTTCCTTGTGGTTGTAAGACGGAGGTCCCCGTTCCCTTGTGACATTGTGAGCGTCCATCCTTAGCTCTCGGTAGCCTCTTTCTGGTCTTGACGCATGAGACCCTACATCCTAGAGCCAGCAACAGCGTGGCAAGTCCTTCTCACGTTTGGAATGTCTCTGACTTCCCCCTTTCTGGCACATTTCTCTCTACTTCCAGCCCAAGAAAGTTCTCTGCTCTTCCGGACTCAGTGTTTAGATTGGACCCACTAGGATAATCCAGGGTAATTTCCGTATTTTAAAGTCCACAAATCCTAATCACATCCACAAAACCCCTTTGCCACGTAACATAAGTAGTCACAGATTCCAGGGATTGGGGTGGGCATCTTTGGGGGGCCAGTATGCAGCCTACCACAGTAGATGTGTGATTGTGTGCATGTGTGTTCTCTCTGAGGCCATGTGAGTGGATCACTTCGATGCATTCTTTTATAAAGTTATATTAACTAAAATGCCTTCATAAGAAGAACATTTGTCATCATACCCGAGAAGTCCAGAACAGCAGGGTCCCGTATGGTCCACGGGCTACACATCGCTAGCGATGCCCTTGATACGAAGCTAGTATAAGCTGAGCTGGGCTCAAAGTGTAAAATATACTGCAGAAATTGAGGGATTTTTATTTAAATTTTTTTTTTTCAGATTGTGCCTGTGAAGTTTCTCCGCTGTAAAGTGACTATTCCCTCTTTGTAACAAGTGAGTATGGGGGGAGACTTGGAGACTAGGTAAATGGATATTCCTCCTCAAATTCCAACCTGTTCATGTTAGCATGCACTGATGGTGTTCGCCTGGTTGTTACTGTCAGGACAGTTACCAACCAGTGATTCTCTTTCTACATTTATTAGCTGGCATTCTACTGTCAGGAAGAGCTTTTCTCTTCTCCCTCATTTATGTATTTACTGATTAATTTCTATCAGCATGGACTCATGGCTTCTTATTTTATTCAGTGGATTGTAATTCCTTACTCTCATTTATTTTGCTGTTCCAGTTGTCCCCGATCAGGTCAATGGGAACACTTTCAAGAGGGCGCCTATGCCCTTTTGTGTGTCCCCATCATTCTCTGAGCACCACTTTGCTTTCTGGAATGTGACTTAAAAAAAAAAAAAGAGTATTTATTTATTTTAGGGGGGAGGGGCAGAGAGAGAGAGAGAGGTAGGGAGAGAAGCAGACTCCTGCTGAGTGCAGAGCCTAACATGGGGCTCAATTTCACAACCCTGAGATCATGCCTGAGCTGAAATCAAGAGTTGGATGCCTAACTGACTGAGCCATCCAGGTGCCCCTGGAATAAGATTTTTAGTAAAATTTGCCCTGCCCCAGTTCTGTAAAGAGCCATTTCTCCAAGAAGATCTGGTTACTTTCGGTGGAGAACAGTATTTAGTGACCAGGATGTAGGTGCTAGGTGGGCTGATTGCTACAGGAATACCATTGTCTCTATTCTTTCTGAGAGCAGAGCTAGGGAGTAGATGGATGTGTGTACAGAATTTTTGTTTACTGTAAAAGGCTAAAATCAGTAATAACTTTTGTATTATCTGTTGAAATTATATTTTAGATATATTCTTTATCATTTCATATATTTCATATATTTATCGATCATATATTATTTAATATATTTCTTTTTACTTTTTAAATGTGGCTACTTGAATTTAAAATTACATATGTGGCTCACATAACACTTGTATTGAACAGTGCTGGTTTCAAGAGCGTGATGTCATAGTGGTTCTAGGCTCTTTCCACCTGGCTACTCCTCCATTCTCAGTGTATTAGTACAGTCTCCCCCTCATGATCACAAAATGGCTGCCACAGATCCAGCCATCACACAATCACCTAATTGGCCAAAAAGCAGAAGTGGCAAAGACTCCAGCTAGCTGTATCTATATTTATTCTCTCTTTCTTCTTTTACTTAGAGAATCCCCGAGTTTTAAGTGAATTCCAGAGTGCTCTACCAAAGACGACATTTCCCAGCCTCCCCTGCACCTGAGGCAGCTGGTATTGCCCAATGCATGCAAGTGAAAGTGATCTGAGCACCTTATGAGTCAGGAAATAGCAATCCCTGTCTCTTCTCCTTTCTCCTTTCCTGCTGAATGACAGGAATGAGAGTAGTCAACTTATTTTGCCTAAAATTTTCCAGGATATTTTCAGTGGCGATAGAATTCTGTGTTGACAGCCTTTTTCTCTTTCAGCACATTAAAGATTCAGGGTAAGTTATATATACAGACTTGGGTCCTTTCTTTCTGGAGCTCCCTCCACATTGAGTTATCCTTTCTCACTTTCTAACTGCTCTGGAAGTCCCAAACTCTAGTGTCTGACACTCAGGTCAAGGACTATGGTTTTCTACTTAAGTTCTAGCTGTCCCTTGCCACATGGACAGAGATGCATCCCCAGGTGAAAAGCCCTATGAACTTAGATCTCACACAGTGCATTTGAAGGTTGAATCCTCTCCAGTTTCTACCTGCTTCTGGTTTCTCTCCAGTGCCTCCAAATAATTGTTTTTAATTTTTAAAATTTTTTATTTGGGAGGGCAGAGGGAGAGAGAGAATCCTAAGCAGGCCCCACGCCCAGCGCAGAGCCCAACATGGGGCTCAATCTCACGACCCTGAGGGATCGACCCCAGCTGAAATCAAAAGTCAGACACCTAACTGAATGACCCACCCAGGCACCCCTAAATAGTTGGTTTTTTTCTATTTTTAAGAAAGATTTATTTATTTTAGAGAGGGAGAGAGAGTCCCAAGCAGACTCCTCGCTGAACACAGAGCGGGACACGGGGCTTGATCTTGCAACCCTGAGATCGTGACCCTGAGATCACAACCTGAAGATCACAACCCTGAGATCACAAGCCAAAGCCAAGAGTCAGATACTTAACTGAGAGCACCACCCAGGCACCCTTAAATAGTTTTTTTAAAAAATCATTTTGTCCAGAGTTGCTGATTGTTTTGTCTAGAGTTGGTAATTGTTGTCTGTGAAGAAAGTAGTCAGTACCCTCTGACATGTCCCTGTACCACCCTTCTCCCTCTCTGGTTCCCCCTCAAGTGAATGATTGCACTTGGGCTCTCTCCTGTGGCTGCAGACACATGTCAGCTGGGATTTGATAAATTCAAAGGTTTGACTGAGTTGGATGCCATTGTTGGCTCACTCATATGGCTGGCTGTGAGCTCAGCTGGGAGTGTTGACCAGAGCATCTGCAAGTGACTTCTGCAAATGACTCAGATTTCTCCCAGCACTGCAGTCCCTGAGCAGTTGAACTTCTTATAAGAGAGTAGGCTGCCCTCCAAGCAGTGTTTAAGGGACAGGAAGTGAAAGCTGAAGGCTAGTTAAGGACTATGTCCACAAATGACACTATATTCTATTGGTCCAAGCAGTCTCAGGCCCCGTCCAGATTGGAGGGGATGGTGAAAAATAAAACTCACTCTTGATGGTGGAATAGCAATGTCACATTGCTGTAGAGCATGTGGGATAGAGATATTGCTGGGAAATACAATTTGACCACAATAGACACAATCCTGAGTCGTTTCCCCCCACACAGTACTCTAAGAATGTACGATGCTGTATGATGGAATGTGAGTGTCTGCCCAGGGTCTATGGCTGCCCAGTGCCCAGAGGAGTAAAAAAAAATCCAGACACCTCCAGAGGTTTTATCTAACACTAGTGTTAGGGGATAGATTGATTAGCATCACTCTCCATGGTCCTGAATCTGTGTGATTTCTCCCTGCCCAAAGCCATGCAGGAGAATGGTCCAACTCTACCAACACACACATATTGTGTGTTCTTCGTTTTGTCAATATTGACAAAAACTGAAGTATGATAATAGAAAAAAGGGAACCATTCTGTTTTATAACAATAGCAAAAAGTTAGTGAAAGATCACAGTGGATCCAGTCATATTCTAAGAGCTGCCTAAGGGAAAGTCCTTATATTCACACAATAATCTTATGTTGTTGGGGGCACCAGGGTGGCTTAGTCGGTTGGGCATCTGCCTTCAGCTCAGGCCTTGATCCCAGGGTCCTGGGATTGAGCCCCGTGTCAGGCTCCCTGCTCAGCGGGGAGCCTGCTTCTCCCTCTCCCTCTGCCTGCCACTCCCCCTGCTTGTGCTCTCTCTCTGTGTGTCAAATAAATGGATAAAATCTTTTTAAAAATCTACTTATAAAAAAATAATCCTATGTTGTAGGTACTATTATTAGCACACATTTTTAAGTCCAGGAAAGGTGAGGAACTGAGAGGTAAATCGCCCACTCCATGTTACACAGCTAATAAGTTAGGATTTGAAACAAATTATTCTTGACAGAGTCCATACTCTTTTTATTTTTCTCGATGTTGATCCCTCTCCTTGTTTATTGGTCTCTTGACAGAAGAGCAGTCACTGGTTGACAAGCAGAACTTAAGGTTCAGTGAGATTCTTGCTGTGTTTCAGGTGGAAAGGACTCCTCACTGGGAACCAGGGCTTCTTAATCAGCAGAGCCTAAATTTTTC